TGCCAGGGTGTCCTGGTAATAGGGACAGCGTGGAGAAGGGATGGCAGGACAGCCCTAAAGGAGGGGTGCCAGGGTGTCCTGGTAATGGGGACAGCGTGGAGAAGGACAGCCCTAAAGGAGGGGTGCCAGGACAGCCCCAGGGGAGAGTGCCAGGGTGCCCTGGGGTGACAACGGGAGCGCTTTGGGAGGTGACGGCGGTGATGGGGACACCCCGAGGGGCCCGGCCGGTGCCAGAAGCCACCAGATGTGTCCGGTGAGCCCCGAGGGGTGGCCCGGGGCCACAGTGGCGGCCCCGCTCTTACCGGAGAGGCTGAAGCTGGACTCGTGCAGGTCCCTCATGCCCCCGTGTCGTGTGGCCGGCCGGGTGGGTGTGTCGGCCAGGGGCGTCCCCGTCTCTTTTTTCCCGGCATGCACAACCACGGCCACGTCCCCCAGGTACGGGGTGCGATCCACACCCCGCAGCTTCAAACTCTGCCGGGAGCGAGAGAGAGAGCGGAGAGAGCATCAGCAGCCGCCGGGAATGGGGGGCCGGGGCCGGGGGGAGCCCGCGGTGCCAGCGGGGTGCGGATCGGCCCTACAGCGGGGGAAAGGGGCTGGGGCATGCTGGGGTGGGGAAGCGGCTGGGGAGGGGCTGGGGAGGGGCTGGGGGTGGGCAGGGGGCAATCGGGGCGATGCCAAGCGGGCCGTGGGGCTCCCGCTGCAAAGCAGAGCAGGGGCAGCAGCAGGGGCTGGGGGAGGTGGGTGACCCTGGCAGAGCAGCCCCTCGCCCCGTCCCCCCCAAGCCAAGCCGAGCCGAGCCGAGCCAAGCCAAGCCCATGCAATGCCCTGTGCCCCCCCAGCCCCCCCAGAGTTTCAGACAAGTCAGACAAGTGCCCCAGTGCTGGCCATCATCTCCTGTGACAGTGCCAGGACCCCCCGGCTGTCCCCCTTCCCTTGCACCATCAGCATCACTCCGATCCCCCCACCCATCCCWTACAGTGCAGGGGACAGGGGGGACCCAGTGACAGGGACTGACAGAGCTCCTGGGTGTCCCTGTCCCCTGTGGGGCCACCGTGGGGCTGCCTTGGGAGACCCAGCACAGGGCAGAGCCTGAATTGGGGTCACAGGGGGTTCTAATGCTCAGCACACGCCTTGAAATGACCACGGGCCACCGTCACTTTGGGCCARCTGTCCTCTTGCATGGCCAGCACGCTGGCAAGGACCCAGCAGAGGGGTCTCTGTCACACCCCGGTCCCCAGGGACCCCCTGTCCCCTGCACAGGGCACACTGTGCTCCTGTCACACGCGTGGGCCTGGTACAGACCCTCCTCTGGTGCTGCTGGGACCACCACAAATCGCTGCCTGATTGCAGGAGGGGGCAGATTTCTGGCAGAAAACTCCCCAAAATCGTTGTTCCCCAGGTTGGGAAAAAAGAACCAAACCAAACCAAACTGAGGTGGGACCCTGTACCCCCCTCCCTCTCTCAAATCCGGCTGGAGCGAAGGGCACAGCGGGAGTTATCCTCGGTGCCCGAGAGTCTGAGCACCCCACAGCAATCAACATCTCAGCATGGAGATTAATTATAAAAAAAAAGATGAAAAAAAATGATAACAGCGACCAAAAGYGTCAGTTTTGCTCTATAAAAGACACACAAAATTGCCTCCTTTGTGCCCTCCAGCAGCCAGCACGGTGCAGACCTGTCCCACACGACCATGGCACYGCTGTGGCACTGCCACTGTCCACCACACCCCGCTGCCCCCGTACCTTCTCCCGCTGCACCAGTTTCTTGTAGGCGATGTCGGGGAAGGAGCGCAGCGGGCAGAATTTGCCGGTGCCCTCGGCGCACATGAAGACGCCGTTCTCRTAGACCACGCGCCCGCGGCTGATGGTCACCAAGGGCACCCCGTGGCACCGCATGTTCTCGTACAGGTTGATGTCCCCWCCTTGCACCTGGGTGCTGGCAGAGATGGTCCTGGGCAGGGGGACACCAGGGCGGTCAGTGGGTGCTGAGGAACCCTTCCCAGCCCCCCACCCTGAGCTGCACCTACTTGGTGGCCTCGGGGTCCCAGACCACGACGTCAGCGTCGGCCCCGGGGATGATCCGGCCCTTGCGGGGGTACAGGTTGTGGATTTTGGCGGCGTTGGAACTGGTCACGGCCACAAAGCGGTTCTCGTCCATCTTACCCCCCACCTGCAGCCAGAGCGGGGTGAGGATGTGCTGGGATGGGTCCCTCCCTGTCCCCCAAAACACCCCGAGGGTGCTGGGAGCCTCACCAGAACCCTCTGAGCTCTCTGTGGAGCACCTCACCCAATGCCAGGGGACAAACACCCTGTGCGATGGTGACAATGTCCCCCACGAGCCCCCGGTGCCCTCATGCCAGGGGACAAACACCCTGTGGGATGGTGACAATGTCCCCCACGAGCCCCCAGTGCCAGCCCCGTGTCCAGGCCAGCGGTGCCGTACCACACCACGCTCCCAGATGATGTTCATGCGGTCCTGCACCCCGCTGACGCCGTGCGGGATCTTGGTGAAGTCCTCCTTGCCCATGGCTTTCTGCTTGGTGCTGAAGGGCCGGTGGTCCGAGGCCACGATGTTCAG